TACACGCGCGTCTCGGTCGTCGGGAACGAAGACGGAGACTATGCACGCGAGCCTGCCAGTGTGCTGCTGGGCGGGCGGTTCGATGTACGCGTCTGACGCGGTAAATGGGCCCAGCATGTGCGCCGTCTCTTGTGCAGGCTCAGGCTCGCGGCCTTCGCACGCTCCATTGTGCCACGGCTTTGCACCTGTCCACTTTGCCCCCGAGTTGCGCATGGCGCAACGGCTGCCGACCCGACTGCATCAAGAATGCAGAGAGCATGGGCCCCGAGGTCGAACAGGGTTCTTGAAGCATCCGCCCACATCCTGTAAGTACTATTAATGCATATTTGCGTCGTTCAGCCGCTGACGCGCCGCCAAGCTTCTCGACATGCCTCGCGAACTCCTCCCGTTTTGCCATCGCTCCTACAGATGCTGAACAGTGCTCTCGTTAGGGATGGCTCGCGCATGCTGCCCTCATGGTCGACCGGCTCCCCGGCTCTTGCGCCGCTGACCGCACCGCGTACAACCTCCCCACCGCTCCCGATTTGCGTCAAGCCGTACACGCTCCCCGGACGACCTGCCCGCGCTGCACGTCCAGCGGAACGACTCCATCGAACACCACCTCGGACTCGTACGCCTGGCGCGCCGTCTCCGTGCGACCGGCTGCATTTCGAGTTCCTCACTTTGCAAGCGCAGCCGCAGGACGAAAACATGTGTTGGTGTCGGTGCCTGCGGACGATCGGGCAGGCCACTGAGGAGGTCGAAAAGGAGGGCGCAAGCGGCATAGGCAGGGAATATAGAGATGCCTGCAGTATGTTGAACGGCGAGTGGCAACGGTTCGGAGACTTGAAAGCCCGCATCTCGCAAGGCGGACGCCTAGGAACACATTGCGATGAGCAGAGGCTTGGTGTTTATGCGCGAGCAGAACTATCTGCGCAGACAACAAACAGGCTAGTCGACGAGCAAACTTGAATGCTCGCTTCCACCGGCGTACGTCTTGGATCGTTAGTGCAGTGTATGCGAGGCTGATGTCACCGTACAGTTGTGCAATAATATTATCATGCCGCGCACAACAAGACAGTAGCTACAGTTATGCGGTAGCGGCAGCTCTGTCAACGCGGACCGTGCTTCGTCTCGTGATTTTATGTCTTATCTTACGGTACCGACTTGGAGGGCTGTCATCGCAGTAATATTCAATTTGATTTGCTGCATTTCCATTTCATGGTCTGATGGGGAATACTCTGCAGGCCTGCGTGCTCGAAATTAACCTTTCAAGCTCTCTACTACATCCTCCGGCCAACAGGACCTAGGCGTAAAGTGCTGCAGCATCCTGCGCAGCTCGAGTTATTGATCTGTGTCCCAACCAAAGCAATTCCTCATTCAAGCTCACGTACAGAGCAACACTTGTACTTATTCTCTTGTGTATCGCTGGTATTCGCATTGATATCATACATCAGCTGTTTGCCCCGCCATTCGCGGCCTCGACGATCTGCGCCTGCCCGAATGCAGGCATATTCGCACTCAGCGCCCGTCGTGGTAGCCAATCGGCGTCCGCCGAACATACCTTCTCTGGCCCGTGACTGCGTTCTTCGCATCCTTTGGGCATGAGGCTTGTGCGGCTATGCCGCGAGTTGTCGGTTGAACCACTCCGCCAGCAGCTATGCACCGTCTCAAGCAGAAGTTACAGGGCAGCAAAGCCCCCGACACTGCAATCGAAGTCCTCAAGCAAGCTCTCGAAATATTCAAGGACACCGCTGGTAATCTGGGAGTGCCGGGATTGCAGATAGGCGTCAGCGTCCTTTCGACTGTGTTGACGATGGTCCAGGTATGCGCCATGTGCCGTCCTCGGCGATGCTTCTGATATTGGAACCAGAAATCGCGTGCAAACACAGAGAGTATCAAGGAACTGGCTACGAGAGTTGAAGATCTGACGAAGATGGTGCGAGAGAGCGCGGAACTGCAGGGCGAGCACATATCTGCACCGATGCAGGACAGGATCGATCGCTTGCAGGAGTGAGTTTGCTGCTAAGGATACAGGTACAGGCTTGATGACATCGTACAGGTCTTGGAAAGCAATCGACGACGAGGCTCAGAGTCTCAAGTCTCAGCACAAAGTGTGGCGAACACTGGGAAGCAATAAGGAAGCGGAAGTGATCACAGGTTTGGTGCAAAGAATGTCTTCGTCAATCCAGAATTTCATGGTATGTGGCGTTTGGTACCCCTGAGGATCTGTTCCTCTGGCTGATATATCGCCCTGAACTACAGGTCGAGAGTACGATTGCGATAGAGTCTGCTTTGAATGTATGTAACAGGCATGTCTTAGTCACCGATACAGATGTTAACATTGGACCAAAAGCATCACGTGCATGTCTCCAAGCAGGACTCGGACAGGGTAGAGGGAAAGATAGATGTCATGCCAGACATCATTGTTCAAGTGAGGATCTCACAACTAGTGTACCAACTGCGACCTGACATCTGGTCGCATCTAGCGCTTGATATCTCGCTGGGAAGGTGTGCTCAAAGCAATTGCTACCTCAGCGCCATTGTTCTGATCACTTTCTTCCAGGCAGCTTTGTACCGCCCCATGCAGCCCGGGCGCAATTCGACAGTTATTCAGAGCGCAAAGCTTGTCTCGATGGGACACGTACCGACATCCTAGAAACCATCTCTGCCTGGGCAGCCGGTCAACTTGTGCCTGGCGAGGCAGCCGATCCCGCCGGAAGCTCTACCCGCCAGCAACCCAACGTCCTCTGGCTCAACGGCGTGCCCGGCACCGGCAAGACAACAATATCATATACCGCCGCGAAGCAGTGTCATGACCGCGGGATCTTAGGTGCAAGCTTCTTCTGCTCTCGATCCGACGCCGATTGTAGCAACCCCTCGATGATCTTCACCACTATTGCCTACCGCCTCGGGCTGTTCTACGAGCCGTACAAGGACAAGGTCACGGAGATACTCAAGAGCAATCCCGATATCGTAGACTCTCAGGTCCATCGCCAGTTTGAGGAGCTCATATTGCGGCCATTGACACTCCTCCGCGATGACTTCCCTCCATGTGTTGTAGTCATCGACGCGCTCGACGAGTGCCAGCAGCCTCAGGTCGTCTCTACAATTTTGTTTACTCTGTTGGAACATGCAGAGGATCTCTCACCGCTGCGATTCCTCGTCACCAGCCGGCCCGAACGGGATATCGTTACCACGTTTGACGCTCCCGGCTACCGCAACGCATTCGACAAGCTACTCCTACACGCGGTCGAATTACGGCCTGTCACTACTGCGGACATTAAGCGGTACTTGACGGTGTCCCTGTCAGAGATCAGACGGCATTTCGACCTGGCCGAGTCCTGGCCCAACGAGGCCGATGTCGAGATACTGAGTAACATGGCCAACGGCTTGTTCATTTTTGCTGCGACCACCGTCTTGTTCATTGGCGACCGAGAATACAGCGATCCGGTTGGACAGCTGAAGACTCTCATATCCACCGCACATCTTGGCGGCTCTCACCAGCTGCTGGACCGAATCTATCTGCAGGTGCTCGACACCGCCTTTCCTAGCATATCGACGAGTCTCTCAGATCGACTGAAGACCGTGCTTGGCTCGATCGTCGTCATCAAGGATCCCCTTCCGCCCACTGGCCTGTCGCGGCTGCTGGGGCTCTCCACCGATACCGTGCGCAGCTCCCTTGCGCATCTCCACTCTGTCCTCGTTGTACCGGCTGCTCGAGAGTCTGCAGAGAATATCCGAATAATTCACCCGACATTTGCCGAGTTCCTGCTCGACCCGAGCCGCTGCACGAACTGTTCATTCACCGTCGACTCGCAGCGGCAGAACACGCTCCTGCTACGAAGGTGTCTGGACGCGCTGAAGGAACTGAAGCGAGACATCTGTGACATCCGGGACCCTTCCCTGCTCAACAGCGAGGTTCCTGGCCTGCTGGGTCGGATGGAGAGCGCGATCCCTGCACACCTGCGGTATGCATGTCGGCACTGGTGCACTCATCTGTCGAACGGCGAGCTGTTAGACGAGATCCTGGACATGCTTCTTGAGTTCGTACAAAGGCAGCTGCTGCATTGGGTTGAGGCCTGCAGCCTTCTCGGACTGTTAAGGGATGTCATCTCAGGCATCAACGAGGTCCAGCGGAAGCTGAGGGTGAGTGCGCCTTGCTCTCGAGTATAGCTCATACATCTAAGTTCCTGGACAGGGTGTTAACGATGACCGAGCGAGGGACATTGTCATTCTGTTGAATGACTGCGAACGACTGGTTGTCGGCTACTTCCCTGCGATCAGCAGCTCAGCGCTACACCTGTACTATTCGCTCCTGTCATTCATCCCGACAAAGACTGCACTTGCACGGACGTATGCGCACGAATGCTTCTCCGAGGTCTCTGTCAAGGTTTTCGGCAGCGTGCCAGGCATGTGGGATGCCTGCTTGGGCACGGTCACCGCGCATGGGGGCTATTCGGTCACGGCGGTCGACTTCTCACTCGACGGCAGGACGATTGCCTCATCAGGATTGGACGGCGAGATACGGATTTGGGATGCGCTGACGTGCGCCCTGCTATTGGTCCTCTCCAGTCATTCCAACAGCGTTTTCTCTGTCAAATACTCTCCAGACGGCGCTCGCATAGCTTCTGCTGCTTCCGACAGAACAGTCAAGATTTGGGACGCAG